TTTTTTTTTTTTGTTTTTGTTTTTCTTTCTTTCTTTTGGAATCAAATTGATCGACGAAAATAGAAAAAATGATTCGAAGATCGCGTTAAATAGACAATTTCGATATATTCTTACCTGCTTTCTTCGTGGAAATTTCATCCGACAATATCCGCTCCACTCCAAACTTCAATTGCTTCGAACAATTCGTACCATCCACAACACGAGTTTTCACTTCGTTCATTTTTCGTTTTTCAATTGAGAGAAAAGAAAAAAAAAAAATAATCGCTCAACGCAATATTTTAATTATCCTAAAATTTTCCGAAGCACACATTTAACCGGTTACAACATTTTCCAACAATGCTCCACTATTAAAAATCGTAACTAAAATAAATTACGCGCAACGCGTACACTTCACTGAACATCGCGGTTTGTGTCATGATTAAAAGTAGACGCACCAGTATCTTTTTTCGACAATAGTTCGATTCTTCTCCGGATCGCGGACAGACGATGGTGGAATCGACGTTGGATACGATTACGACGATAATAGTTAAAAGGTTAAACAATGACTTTCACGGAAGTGCATCGGAATGAATGAGTGAAGCAAGAGTTCCTGCCATGTTCAGGACGGAATTTGGTTTAAAAAAAATCACCGGAGCTCGGTGCAATTTCGTACGTGGGATTGGTCTACACGAGAGTCGTAGGCGTGGCTCTAAGAAGATTGGTTCTCGAAGGACGATGAATCTGATGTCAGGCTCGATGGAGCATTGGTCGGAAGAATTCCCGATTCGGTGCGTTTTTCTCGAATAAATATTTAAAAAACAATGTTCGACGCGTGTGAAACGAGATTGAATTGTATTGGAAATTGATGAAACGCGTTAATTATCTGGAAAATTAACAAAAAAGAGAATCGTTGGGAAAACATTGCGACGCACAACGAGTTGACGTAGTTTAATTTTATTTGGATATATTTTTCTCTTTTTTATACAGATTACATTTTTTCTTTCATAATCTTTTTTTTTTTCATAGAAATTATATACTTTCTATATTTATCGCTATAATTAACTTACTACTAATCGTTAAATAAATACGCTTACGATCGTAGGGAATCGTAGGAACGAAAACGTAATCAGTCATACGTTAACAGAGAAATAGGGAGGAGGAATAAAAGTCGGAAAAAAACAAAAATAGATGCTATTCGGGTTATACGTATCTGTGGAATAATAGCATAGAGACGTATGGCTGATGATATCTCTGGAAGCCATATGGTTATCTTTGCATGCAGACTTTCGGAGTATACAGTCACTTAGGTGTTTATTTGAAGAGCCATGTTTGAAGCAGCCTCTACCCACATGCTAAGAATATTCTTCGGGATATGTACACACCGTGATCCTCTATTCGATTTTATTAGGTTTTAGGATTTTCAAGAGTCCAGCGATTCATGATAAGCGAACCCCTAATTGAGTCACGATCACGACCGACTTTTATCGCCCGACTCTCATATTCTCTCGTGATCAATGCTCCGATACGTCGATTTTCAAATGCGAAACATACATTTTTCATCATCTAAGATTTTCTAAGAAAAAATTCTGCCAAAGATCTAAACGTCTAAAGATAGAGGAGGGGGGAACAACGTAAATCTTTCGTTTCAATACACATTTTCGGGATCCGTTAAGACAGGATTTTTATACATTTTTATACATTGCATAATATTTCGACAGCAGAATCATCCCTCGATATAACTTTTCAATTTCTAAATTGTCCTCTAATGATTCGAAGGCAGGCACGTCTCTTTTAGGACGATTATACGCTTGCAAACCCTGCAAGTTCTGAAAAATTTTAGGATTATCACGAACGAATGTTTCGATTCGTCTTTCAATTTTGTTGTTGTACCTATCGAGTAAATGAAAATATTCACTCACCGAGAGCACTATAACATTTCCATTGCCCGTGTTTCCTTGACGAATTCCTGTTATTATGAGACAGAGAAGGTAGCCACCGAAAGCAAGGAACGAAAGCGCCGTCACCGATAATTGAAATATCTTCGAAATTTTCGTATCCTTTCCTTTCTCCTCGTAATGATCCTCGTACCTTCTCATCGGCTTTCCGTTTGTTCTTTTCAGGGGTTGCGCGACAGGCAATGACAACGAAAATGTTCTGCTCGATATTTCTTCCGGTTGTTCGTCTTCCTCGACATCTGTACGCGATTCGATTCGATTCATTTTTTAAGAAAAAATTTTTCTCTCTCTCTCTTTCTTTCGTATATCTTTTTAAAGCGTTAAAAAGTTTACCTTCTTCGTCCCCGAGTGTGGACTTTATTTGGATCAACTCGCTCATCGGCAGTTCGCTCAAACAAAGTACTTCCTGCGTGTAAAAAGACGTTCGATTTGCCAATGTAATTTTCGAGCCAAGAAACACGAATAAAAGCGATATCGTTACGATATTCATTTTAAATCGTATTTTAACCGAATTGTTACCGTTTCAATTTCGACTTCTCAACGACGAAGCCCGGTTTACACTAGTCCAAAGAGTTGTCTTGAGATTTCTATTCTCGTGCTTGGTTGACAAAGCGAGAAGAATCTCGATCTTGGTCGACCACGCGACCAACGAGGAACAGAAACGTCGCGATTCAACAATGTGGAAACGAGTAGTAATTAACATCCGTTATAACCGGATGTTCGAGTGTAATTCTTCTAGTGTTCGAAAAACTTTGGTCACGTAACGATGAATTTTCTGTGCGTATTCTTTTACATCTCGACTATGGCGATCTTTGGGTCCAGTTCAGCTCAACAGGACGATGGTCGGTAATGAAAATGAATTTGATTTAACAATCGATTTTAACATCAACTCACGGACGATCGATCGAACAACAATTTTCTAATATTTGTGAAAATCTCTTGCAGGTGTACTCGACAAGATAAAAACGGGTTTCGAGTACGCGTCGAATTATCTGGAAACTGCAAAGGACATTGCCGACTTGGTAGCGAGTAGTCTGGGCGGTAAGCAAAAGGAGAAACGGGGTGAGGACGAAGATGCGAAGAATAAGGGAAGTTTTGGCCCTTCCACCCTCATGTCTGCTTTCTTTCGTCTCTTTGGATTGGATTCGCAGAAAGTTACAGCGATTGCTGTGAACAGTGTCATATTCCTCGCACAAATGGTACTTGTCTATTATGTATTTATATGTATTCGTCTTAATCTTAATATCGAATAATTGAGAATACTATAATGAGATGCAGATAAGCTCGTTGTTCAATTTGAAGCCGAAAGAGAATTCTGGTAGAAGTTTGGAAGATGAGAGTGACGCTTCATCTTGGGATCCAGCGAGACTTATTACGGAGAGCAAGAACGAGAGAGTGAGTCATTAGCCCTGAAGCAAAGCAAAGATCGAAAATTGGGAGATGTCGGAAGCAATTTTCTTTTCAGATTCAGAATTTACTGGAACAAGCTCGAGACGAGAATCTAGCGAGTCGGTTGATCGACAGATTGGATGGCGACGATTCATCGTGCATCAGATTGCTCGTATGCAAAATTTCACCTGTTATCAAGGCGGCGCAATATTCTTTAAAGAACAAAAGTCAAGATAAATGGCATCGAATGACTTCTTGGCTACCGAATAAAGACGAGTTCGAAGAAAACGGCGACGAATGCGAAAACACGCATACAGATTGCAGTTTATTTTTCTAGCGGTAGCTATTGAATCGGCCTGTAGTAGTTTATTTAACTTTATTTGCTACGAACTTGGTTTCGGGAAGAAATGAGGATCGGCTCGAAGAAATTTTTCGAATACTTTTGCACAAAAACTGAACGCTTTCGGAATTTCGTATATACGTATATATAAAAATCGATATGGAAGATGTTATTTATAATTGAAACTCTACGCGTGAGTAACTGTGTATAATGGAATTGCTAGGAATCAAAGAATTGGTTTGCACAGCATATATATTTGCGTCTATACAAATATATACCAATATATTACACAATGTACAAGGTATACCAAAATTAATTTATCGAACACCGCATTTCCGGTGTTCTGCGAATCGACGAATGAAAAAGAAAAAAGCAGTGAACCACCATTTTCCTTTCTGGAATATGCACCATTTATTTTAAATAAATTCCTCGTGAATTAAATTTGGCAATATACCCTTTCTTGTATCTCCAGCCATCTCCAGGATGGCCGCGCTCGCGTTCCATTACACCAAATAAAATTACTATTGCTTCGAATCGTTCGATCATTACAAACAACATTTGTCTCTTGTACGTTGCACAAGGAAATGCTTTCGATAATATCGTTTGTGAAACAGAAGCGTTTCCTTTAAAATGTAATCGCATTTTTAATACGATTTTAAACGGCCTCGTTGTTGCCTCGTTGATATTTAGCGAGGATTTTAACAAGAAAAATGATCGACACCTTTACAAAACGCATTGTGCGAAAAATATAATAATATCCAGTACAACAAAACTGCGCGATCGAGTTATAAAACGAATTATTTCCGTTTAAACAATTGCACTGTGAACGAAGCACCAAAAACAATCGCAGAATCATTGGACGTAACTCGTTAACGATTTACCAACATCCGAAGCGATAAACGTCGATACATATTTTCCGTATGGAGGAAGAGGAAGGGTTTACTTATACGATTCTTTAAGGACGGTGCTAATGAAAAATCTCTACGCTTCGAAACCTTCGAGTAAGTCGAACGATTTTAAAATGACTCCTACAATTTCGAATATCGACTCGAATCTCCTATCGATCATCGTTAACTTTAATGGATATAAAATCAACTATACGTGTATATAGTCCGTGTTTCGATCCGTGCTCTCACGGATATATACGAACGTCGATTAATATCATCAGGATTGATCGCTAAGTCGAACGAAACTCGAGTGAAAATGTCGATGATATACAAAGAGATCGTATAACAGGAAAGAAGGAACCATTCTCGAGTAAGAGCTACGTTGAAACAAGATTTAACACGCGAAATTTTTTCACGGGACAATATTCTACTTGTTGCGGAGACACGTCAGACTTTACGGTTCTCATGTTGCTCAACGTGGAGATTATATTAAACGCTCTCTACGCTATACATCTAATGAGATCAGAATTATTGCGAGTTATACGATATCCGGAATGTCAAAAAACGTTCGATCGAAACGTTTCTCTAAAATGAATAATAATAAATATCGATGGGGTAATTAGCCATTTCTGGTCGATCGATCGATCCAGAAACATTTTCTACTTTTGCTTTACGGTAGAGATATATCGGTGATTCGATTCTAGAAAGTATCTCGATAATTATGAAAGTTTGGCATTCGAGAGGCGCGCACCGCGTTAAACGCAACACGGAGAGACGCGCGCGCGTACAAATTCGAGGCATTCGAAGAAGTGGCATTCGAGAAAAGAAACTAGCTCGAGTTGTCTATGAATCCGTTGTTTGTTGCCGTTACGCTATTGTATACGCGACTTACAACAATTAACTCGATACAAAAGCTAAGTCTTTCCGTTGACAATTTTGATTTCAGATATATCACATTTTACGATTCGTGATAAAACATAAAATTTGAATCGACACTTCTCGTACGCCGAAGATCCACGCGTTTTCCAAGATTTTATCACACATCCGTCTCAAACGCGATTTCCAATCTAATTCGCGTGAAACAATCCCAAATATTACATGTATATTTACTAGTAAATAGATGTATATGATATATATATATATA